TATATATATATATATATATATATATATATATATATATATATATATATATATAAATTATAATATAATTAGACAATATTTTGATATATTATTGATGTGTGATATACTGATTACAAAGATAAGAATATAATTACAGTCCTTTACAAATCCACAGCTAAACATATAGGCCTCTCCCAAGTAATGTCATTAAGCGCGCACCAGGTCGTCATTTTACCAAGTGGGAAGCTGTCTTATACTATAGTATAGAATAGAATATTTTTTATGTAATACTTATTGAAAGTCCTTCTTTACTTTTTTACCACTGATTCCAAAAAAAACCTCTGTCCAGGAAAGAACTAGCAAGAAACCCAGCCGGACTTTTAAAAAAAAAGAACTATTTACAATATTATATTTCATACAATTGTTACGAAAACATTAAGAAACAGCCTGGAGCGATCACCTCATTCCCAGGGGTTAATATCAATCATGTACTCTTTAGTAGTATAATAACCCTTACCAAACAATTTTTGCTTAAGAATTATTTTAAGCCTTGTAATAGTATAAGGCTATAAGGTCTGCAAATTTTCTGGAACTTTGTTGTAAAAGCGTATACATTGCCACATGAAAGAATTACTGACTCTTTGGAGTCAAGTAACTGGTATAATTAACTTGTGTTTGTTAGAAGACTATTTTTGTTATTGTGTATCTACATAAAATTTTCGTAAATATATTGGGAAGCTAAAATTAATATATTTATTTCTTGAATTTTTTCTCTCTTGATTGATTCTTTCAAACTTAGGTTATAAAGAGCTCTTATGGCTCTCTTCTGCAAAACAAAGATAGCTTCAAATTCAATGTCAGTCGCATTACCCCATAGCAAGATTCCATATAACATTATGCTATGGAAATAACTAAAATAAACTAATCTAGCTGTTTAATCACATGTAAGGTCTTTAATCTTTTTTACAGCATCTGCTGCAGAACTAAGCACTGCTAATTTAGATATATGAGAGCCCCATTGAAGCTTTGCGTCGAGTGTAATTTTGAAAAAAAACAGTAGATTCAACAAGGCCCAGCTCCTCCCCATTTAAAAGCACACTAGTTTTTACTTGTTTAACATTAGGTGTGGTGAATTTAATACATTTCGTCTTATTACCGTTCAAAATAAAATTATTGACATTAAACCAGTGCACTACTCTTGATATAGATTATTCACCTCGTCATATTTAAATAATTGCCTTTAATGTCGGAAAACCAACGAAGTATCATCAGCAAATAAAACCATGTCATGTTTATTCCCTACCAAGTAAGTTAAGTCATTAATATAAACTAAGAACAGAAAGGGACCTAGAATTGAGTCCTGAGGAACACCCATAGATACTACCGATCTGAAAGAACTGCTCCCATTAATAACAACTGTTTGGGTTCTATTATTTAGACATGACGTAATAAGTTTGAGCGCTAGGTTTTTGGCACTATAATGATGTAGCTCACTGGTTAATGTCTCATGGTGAACACAGTTGAAAGCCTTGGAAAGATCACAAGATATACCCAAAGCATCTTCTGGATTCTCCCATGCACAAAAAATATGTTTGATTTGCTCAACACTGACATCCGTTGTCGCGCGACACCAGGTAAAACCAAACTGAATTTTAATAGCAGTTGGCAATACAAAAATAGGTCTAAAATTAGTAGGGTCCAATTTAGTGACAGATTTAAATACAGTTATAATTTTACTATATTTCATTAAATCAGGAAACACACCTGATTCGATATTAGCATTGAAAATAATGGAAAGTTGTGGTGTTATCTATTATAGACGCAATAACTTTAACAGGAATCCCCTGTCACATAGATCTGCTGTTTTCTTAATTTCAATAGTTTTAAAATATTTTACAATATCACCTGATAATATTTTGTGAAATGCAAATTCTTTTTTACCTACTTTAACATTTTGTTTGAGTAATGACTCGGTGACAGTTGGGAAGGAATTGAGTGACTTTTTAGTCAAGATCGGAATGATGCCTTTGCAACATCTTCATCTGATTTCATAAAATTATTGTTATAATTTAATTGAAAGTTTGAGTTGTGTAGTTTCACTGTTGATTATACTCCAATTCATAACAATAAATGTTACCGGTTTGCAACATATGATTGATATGCAGAAGAAACAGCGTTGGTGATAGCACGCAGCCCTGTGGAACAACCAGCGTTAATGGGCTTTTACTAATCGGTTGGTGCTCCTTAAGATACATCCTGAGCTGGTAGTTTATAATGGATTCCATTATTTTGGAGAACAAGGGGGTGATAGCGATAATCCTGTAGTTAAACGGATGTAGGAGGTCGCCTTTTTTAGGGACCGGGTGCACTAAAGCTGTCTTCCATGATTTCGGGACTACGCCTAGGGAGGAGGAGTACTGGAATAGAAGCGTTAAAACCGGTGCCAACTCCGGGGCACACGTCTTCAGCACAATAGGATATACGCCATCAGGCACACTAGACTTGTTGACGTCCAGGGAGAGGAGTATTCTGCCCACCGAACGCTGGGTAAACGTGGTGGTCAGTGATGTGTTCCTTCCGTCATTAAGAGTCGAGTTTGATGAAAAAAGAGAGCCCAGCAGATCGGCTTTGTCCTTTGCGGCATGGGCCAGTGAGTCGCCCTCCCTGTGCAGAGATGGCAGAGATAGCTGATAGAAGTTCCCTTGGACAGCCTTGGCGAGAGACCAGAATGCAGTCTTTTTGAAGGACTTTGACTTTGACTTTTGAATTATACTACTTTTTAAGAGCGCTGATATTTGCATCCCGAGACGTCGATGAGTCAGCCCAGACCTGTTAGCACTTCTGCTTATAGCGGAATGAAGTTCTGCAGGAGCGACCAAATCATGGCTGGGTTCTACCTCCTATAAGTACCACAGATGATGGAATAAAAAGTTGCATTCCCTGTAGCATCACATCATCATCAGAATCAGCAACAACGCTGAGACCATCCGGTGAGAAGCAAAGCCACCCCCAATGATAGGATGCAAAAAAAGATCGTATCCCCGATCGGGTGACCTATAATGCCAAACACGGCGGCAACCTGCAGAACGCAACTGCAATGGGGGCGTGAGTGGCTGCATACTCTGGATCAGACAATGGAGGCCGAGGAGCCAAGAGGGGCGTCGACGGAGACCTGATATCCGTCCGGATAAGGAGTCAGCAGAAGGTCCAATAGGGAAGGTAGGATGATCTTCCACATCTGGGGTCCACGTAGGTGAGGTTACCCGTTGTGTCAGATCATATGTCAGAAGCGTGTAGCGGCGCTGTCGTCGCGCCACAAGCGAAATACACCGAAGCTTAAATCACGCTATCAACATTCCGAATCATAGACAGTATATATAGAACTTCTCCGAACTATCACTCGGAGTGTCGGCCGCTCCCCGGGCAGAACACCTTGCCCGGCGGGAGATCTCCCCTTTTCCTACCACGGCCACAGTGGTGACTAACCGACGTGATCTGAACACGCAACCAAATAACCTTCGGAAACTTCAAGCTTCATCATCGTCATAGAATACCCCACCCATTCGTCCCCGAGCGGATATAAACTGCAGTCTTCATATCCTGCAAGCCATCTAGCTTCACAAGGTTCATCGCAGCACTGGAATAATAATGCTTCCTGTTCCTTCAAGCTACTCTCTGCGCCATACAGTGTTCGGCACGGCTCTGAGCCTTACTGCTCGCCTCTGCTTCATGGCACTCTCGCAGATTACTTGCCTTCTTCTCGACTCACCGCAGACTACAAGGCAATCTCCTGGCACTTGCACATTCGTCGACAACGAGACTTCACTATCGACCTCCGGTCTGAGCAGGGGGGTGATGTAGCGGCGCTGTCGTCGACCCACAAGCGAAATACACCGAAGCTTAAATCACGCTATCAACATTCCGAATCATAGACAGTATATATAGAACTTCTCCGAACTATCACTCGGAGTGTCGGCCGCTCCCCGGGCAGAACACCTTGCCCGGCGGGAGATCTCCCCTTTTAATACCACGGCCACAAAGCGCATTAAATTTTCCAGGTACAAATTGAAATTGAAACTGCCATCCCATATATTTGGTGGATGTAACGCCCCTTTTTTCCCCATGATTTTTTTATAATTAATGAGTATTATAATCATTCAATAAATAATCAGAATTAGACTGTATCAAAGTTTTTCATTGACAGGCTTTTTCTATGTCACAGCAATTTGGATTGGTTTGATTATGTAAGTACATAGGACAAATACTAGTATGGTAAGCATGGTATGAATGTTTTTCTAGTTTATGGATTTGATGCATTCATTATTCCAATATAATCTAAGCCAGGCTCATCCATGCCTTGTTTAAATACTTGTTAAATACTAAAAGTTGATATTTTTCACTATGCATGTGAGCATGTAACTGATACATTGTAAGTTTCACAATGTGGACGAGACTGTTTTACAAGTGGACTTTTATTAATTATAATATAACTTGTTGAATGTGCTCAGATTTTAATTAATACAGAGAAACAAGTCCAAAATGTCTTGAGATGCGACTCTATACATCCTGTTTCAGACCTGCACGCTCTTTAGAGATCTTATGATTCTTACATTAGAGAACCTACAATCCTCAAATGTGAGTCCACAGAGTTATTACATTTGAGTCCACAATATGCTTACACAACATTCTTAAATAAAGGTCCACACTTTTTTGTCATAAGTAATTTTCAGTTTGCTCACCACTATTGCAAAGCCTTCCCACAAACAAGTTTACAGCATTCTTAGTATGGGTCCATAATATCCCCTAATACTTGTATCGTAGTACTTACACAACATACATAGTAGTTCACAATCTTCTTCAATACAGGTCCATAACATTCTCCATAACAATATAGATCTAATCAGGGAGAAATCCACTGTATCTCCACAAGTAGGTATACTATTCACTGTAGTGGCTCAAACGGTGTTTAAATTTTTGTGCTATTAGCGGTCTTCAGAGTATTGTGGCAGCAGGGTGGCTATTCTATGCGTGGCAGGTGCGGCAGCGTCAGGAAGTGCGAGGCGGAGGGCGGCGAGGGCGACGCGAGGGGCGTGCTGGGGGCGCGGGAGCTGAGGGGCGAGCCGGGGGCGCAGGGCGAGTTGGGGGCGCAGGGGGCGAAGTGCGTGCCAACAGGTAGGACGCGTCGAGTGCCCCCCTCCCCGCGCCGCCACCCGCACGTTCACACGCGATATTGTTCACACGTTCCTTTTGACGCTCGCGACGCTCTGATGACTGCAACTCCGTCGACGAACATGACGACGCCTGACAACAATCACCGTTTTAAAATCAAAAATACACAATCATGTTTAGACTGGGATTAAAAATGTTTCAATAATAGTGGAAAGAAACAGGTATTTAGGGGTCTGATACCAGAACCAAAACTGTAACCTAAATGAGAATCGTTAGACACCCTTATTTACCAGTAATCAAGCAAAACAAGTACCAACTTGCTTGATTTCATTGAGTGATAGTCATAAAATAGTTACACATTTCAATAATTATAGTAGTCCATTCAATACAGGGTTGTTTAAAAAAAAGTTAATTATAATATTTTATTTTAAACACGTTTTATATATTTTCAGTCGAGGGATACTCATCCCAATTTACCTGTCCGGTAGTTGTGGTATGGTATACGAGTATGCGATCCCGGCTACCCTAGCTATTACTGTCCTATCCCTTGCCCTCATGGACGGTAATATCCTACATTTCCTATTTCCTACCCTAACTTATCTTACTCTTCCTTTTCACACCACCTATCCTTCCCGTTTTCCTATTCCTACCCTCCGCCAATCCAACGTCGACCGCGCGGATGGATGCATGGCTAGGGGCGAGCCTAGTCGTTAGCGTGCCACACTGCCCTGGGACCGGGCGACCCCAGAATTAGGCTAGCCTTACCCTGGCATGCGGAGCTCTGCTGGGGGGGGACAAACCTTTCCTTCGCTATTCGTGGGAACGCAATGGATAATCAAAAATTAACCAAAATGGCGGCGATGTGGCTCGCCACCCATCACGTCTCGTTTCTCGCGGGGGCGAAAAGCGGCCCACGGAGAGCCGCTTCGCTACGTTGAATGTAAGAGGAGGGATGGATGGTAAGGTAGATGGAGTATGTCAGATGATGGATGAACGTTGCATTGATATTTTGTGCGTGAACGAAACCAAGAGGAAAGGATGTGACACCACGGTTCATGGCCCCTACACGGCATACTGGTCGGGAGTCCCCCAAACCAGCCGAGGCTGTCAGGGAGTTGGTGTGATTCTTTCATCTCGAATGGTTGAATGTGTGATGGAGCATGAATGTGTAAGCCCAAGACTCCTCTGGATTAGGTTAAAAGTCGGACTCACCCGCTTGTTTATCCTTGGGATCTATGCACCAACGGATCTGCGTGGAGGTGGATCACTAAAATCACAACAAGAGAGAGAGGAATTTTAGGATAGTATGAGAGAGGTCTTGAATAAATGCGGAGAAAATGAACGGATCGTGATGTTAGGGGACTTTAATGGATGGGTTGGAGTAAAGCGTGATGGGCATGAAGGAGTTCTGGGTATGTTTGGGGACGAGAGAGTAAATGACAATGGGAGAAGCCTGCTTGAAGTATGCTTGGAATGGAATCTGTGCATGACCAACACAATGTTTGACCACAAAAAGATCCATCTGTATACAAGAGATGAGGGTGAGTCTAGAAGTATGATTGATTTTGTAATTGTGGATGAAAGACTGAAGAAGAAAGTGCTAGACACTCGGGCATACCGCGGTGTAGGCCTCGACACAGACCACTTCCTGGTCATAGCCCGAATGCGTGGCCTCTTTAAACGGTGACGACACCGAAGGGCCGAGCCTACGAGTGTTTTGGACAGAGTAAAAGTGGAAAATCTACAAGAAAAAGAAAAGAAAGACGAGTATGTAGAGAAACTGAAAGAATGTTTTAAAGGGATAGAAGAGATAGGAGTGATTGAAGATTTGTGGGAGACATTTAAGAAAGGGGTTGTAAATATTGCGATTGAGGTATGCGGGGTTGCTAAAAGAAGGAAAGGGAGAAAGAATGATAACGTGTGGATGGATAAAGATGTACAAAGGGTTGTGCAAGAAAAGAAGAAAGCGTGGTTGGATTGGTTAGCAACAAAAGCTAACCAAAAAGTTCAAAAGGCAACGGATGACGAGATAAAGGAAGCAAGAACGAAGTATAAAAGATTGAAAACAGCAGCGAAAGAAACTGTGTCTAGAAAGAAAGAAGAACGAAAAGATGATTTCGATAGGAGGCTCACTGAAGATTTCCAGTCAAACATTAAGTTTTTCTGGAAAACCATCAAAACAGCCAGAGGAAAAACTTCTACCTCGGAGCTGAGTACAATCAGGAGTCAAGATGGGAGCATTATAAAAGGAGAAGAATGTCTGTTAAAGAGATGGAAAGAGTATTTTGAAAGTTTGTTTGAAAGAGAGGAAGTGCAGGTACAGCATCTGCCACCTTCCACGGAAACGAATATAAATGTTGATGAAAATGAGATAAGCATGGGTGAAATAGTGAAAGCGTTGAAAAGTATGAGATTAGGTAAGGCTGCAGGGTATGACAGGATTACCGTCGAGATGCTGAGGGCTAGACAGGGCCTGGTGGCTAGTCAGCTGTACCGCCTTTTCAATCTGTGCTGGCGAAATGGGCAAGTGCCGGGAGACTGGTGCAAAGCCGTAATCGTGCCATTGTATAAGGGAAAAGGGTCACGGCAGGACTTCTTAGCGTCGTCGGTAAATTGTATGCGAAAGTGTTGATTGAAAGGGTTGTGAATGAAACAGACGAGAAAATATGGGATGCACAAGCGGGATTTAGAAAGGGAATGGGATGTACGGATCAGGTCTTTTCCTTGCGGTGCATAGCCGAAAAGTGTTTGGCAAAAAACAAGAAAGTCTACTGCGCCATCGTAGATCTAGAAAAGGCCTATGATAGAGTGGTGAGGAATGAATTGTGGTCAGCACTGTCCATGAACGGTGTGAGCAGTGTCCTCATACGAGCATTGCAATCTCTTTATAGGGATTCTAGTGCTTGTGTAAGGATAAACGGGGCATACACTGAATGGTTTAGTATCGAAAAAGGTGTTAGACAGGGATGTGTAGCGTCACCGTGGCTGTTTAATCTGTTCATGGACAATTGTTTGACAGATTTATAAGAGAAAGAAAGTGGGTTGAGAATGAATGAGTTACTCGTCAAATGTTTTCTCTATGCTGATGACCAAGTATTACTTGCGTCTTCGGCCGAGGAGTTGCAGGAGATGGTAACTGCTATGAGTGGAGCTTTTGTTAGAAAGGGAATGAAGATGAATGTAAGGAAGACGAAAGTGATGGTGTTTGAAAAAGATGAGGCAGTGACAGACTGCAATATCGTGATTGAAGATGAACAAATTGAACAGGTGAAAGAGTTTGTGTATCTGGGGTCAAAGTTTACAAGAGATGGAAAGTGTGAGAGTGATATCGAAAGAAGAGTGAATGCAGGAAACATGGTGAATGGAGCTTTGCACTCCTTTATGAGCAGTCGGAAAGTGTCTAACAAGGCTCGTTTGGCTGTGCATGAGGGGGTGTTGGTTCCGACACTCATGTACGGAAGTGAAAATTGGGTATGGCAGAAGAAACATGAAAGTAGAATAAATGCAGTTGAGATGAGAGCATTAAGAAGTATGATAGGAGTTAAACTGAGTGACAGGATAAGAAACAGTGAGATAAGGAAACGTTGTGGTCTGAAAGAAGATGTAGTGACAAAAATTGAGAAAGGTATGATGAGATGGTTTGGCCACATCGAAAGAATGAATGAAGAACGATTGACGAAAAAAAGTGTATAAGGCGAGTGTGAATGGAAGTGCTGGAAGGGGTAGACCTAGGCGGACTTTTCTAGACCAAATTAGGGACGTCTTGAAAAAAGGCCAGGTTAAGAGTACCCTAAACCGTAGAGCATGTATGAAGGGAATAATGAAAGTAGACGAAGCGAAACAAGTATGTAAGGATCGTAGCAAGTGGAAAGAAGTGGTCTCTGCCTACCCCTACGGGAAAGAGGCGTGATTATATGTATGTATGTATATGTCAGAGCAAAGTCATAAACTGATCGGTTAAACGGCAACCAAGCTATTCAGCGTGTTGGCCGTTAAAATCACCAAGCATCAAGATCTCTGCGGATGGGACCTGTTGTAGCATGGAGTCCGCAGCCATTTGGACGTGGTCATTGAGTCGGTCTGTGTCGGCATTACCGCGATGGGACGTATAGAGGCACCCGTAGATGCGGGGATGTTCGTCGCTGTCTACGCGCAGCCATAAGATGGACAGGTCCGTACCTTCAAGACTGCTGAGGCATTTAAAACAGATGTCGGCTCTGTTAGCCTCAACAAACGAGTGTTCTAATTTGTGCCCCGAGTAGGAGAGATACGAAGTATCAGTCCGTTAAGGTTTGAATGAAGTGAAGAAGAATGTTACAGAAGTTCACGGATAGCGTGGCCGGGGGAGCACCTTTGTCGTATTGCTCCGTTTATCCCGACCAGATTTAGTCTCGCACGGAATTTCGCGAAAGTACGCGAGCAATCGAGTATCCGAGTACAGAACCAGAGCTCGAAACCTATCCAACTGCAGAGAGGTTTCACCGCTGCTTTGGAAAACGTTTTCAAGCTACTGGACTGGAAAGGATACGGTATTAACATCAATGGCGAGTACATCACTCACCTTCGATTTGCCGACGATATAGTCCTTATGGCAGAATCGCTGGAGGACTTAAGCACTATGCTCAATGACCTCAATAGTGCCTCCCAACGGATAGGTCTTAAGATGAACATGGACAAAACAAAGATCATGTTTAATGTCCATGTCACACCTATGCCGGTAGTTGTTGGGAGCACTATGCTCGAAGTTGTTGACGAGTACGTTTACCTGGGACAAATAGTCCGACTAGGTAAGTCCAACTTCGACCGAGAGGTCAATCGACGGATTCAACTCGGCTGGGCAGCGTTCGGGAAATTACAATACATCTTCTCGTCAGGTATACCTCAATCTCTGAAAATTAAAGTGTACAACCAGTGCATGTTGCCAGTGATGACTTATGGATCAGAGACGTGGTCCTTCACTGCTGGCCGTATGAGGACGCTCAAGGTCGCTCAGCGAGCTATGGAGAGGGCTATGCTCGGAGTTTCTCTGCGTGATAGACTCAGAAATGAGGATATCCGCAGTAAAACCAGAGTGACCGACATAGCCCAACGGATTAGTAAGCTGAAGTGGCAATGGGCCGGCCATATAGCTCGAAGAACCGATAACCGATGGGGAAGAAAGGTTCTCGAGTGGCAGCCTCGTACCGGTAGG